CCAAAAGACTTAGATTCTTCCAAAGGTCTTATGTGGGAAAAAAGCAATGGTGGGAAGGGTACAGAGAGGAATGTGCAGGGAGGTATCTCTAGATTAAAAGATCCAATCAAATACAAAGCATGTATCCTGGTTCAAAAAAAGCTATAAAAAGCCATTTTTCAGACACTTAGCAGTATTTGAATATGAACTTAGATAATGCAGTCCAAATTAATTTAAATTTTCTTAACTGTGATAATGGTATTGAGATTAATTAGGAAAATGCCCTTATTTTTTAGGACACGCATACTTAAGTATTTAGGGGGTAGGGTGTCCTGATAGAGATAAAGCTAGCGTGGCAAAATGTTAATCATTGCTTAATTTAGATAGTATACCATTCTTTCAACTTTTATGTATGTTTTGAAATGGAAAGCTGGAGAAATTTTAAACTTACAAAAAAAGTTTTTTAACACCACCACCTGTGTGAGCTCATGGAGATAACCCATGAGTTTTTTAAAGCTAAGCTAAAATCTGTCATAGCACAACTGAAGCCATTAAAATGGCAACAATATTATAAAAACAAAATATTCAAAAGAAAACCAAATGTGGCTTATGAGAAAATGGAGACAAATAATATGAAGTAATGGAAATTTGAGGCATTATGTAATATCCAAAACAAGATGCACTTTTTAAAATTCTAGAATGCACGGCAGTACTACTGAAACAGGGGTTCATGTTTTTGATGAATTTCTATAAACCTATCAGTCACCCAGGACATATTACCCTGCCTTTGCTATATTTAGAAAACCTACTGAAGCAGCATTTATATATTAGAAAAAGCACTTAACATCATAATTTTAAGTTACTTTATTTATTATCCAGGCAGAGTAAAACAAAACATAATAAAACTTTAGTCTAAAGGACAAAACTTAATAAAGCCCCAATTATTAGAAATCATATGTATGTGCAGTGTTTTTTAAAAGAAAGGGCAAACACACAAAAAACCTCAGATTTTGTTAAAAACACACATCTGATTTAGCACATTTAACTAAGCCTCTTAAATAGTCTACATTTAAAGTACATTTTAACAAGAGTGAATTTGTAGATGATTACCCCAAAACACCATAACAACATTCATTATTCTTTTAAGACTTCATTGAGTTCTACTTTAAAAATGAGGAAAGTGCATATCTAAGATAAACTGTATTTCCAAAGGAATACCATGTTCTTTTAAAGTTATTACTTCTTTAAATAAAATAAATAATATTTATTTTAGAAAACCTAAATGAATAAATAAAAATAAACGCATAAATAAAAAACTGATCTGTAGGTCCAATGGAGGAATGATGCTTAACCCTATTAAAGGATGACTAGGAATGTGGACCTAACAACAGTGAAGCCCTATTGTGAGTCATAGTAACAACTAGTATCAGCTTTATTCTATTAGTGCTTCCTTATAATGGAAGTGATGGTTAATGGTTTGTTTAAAATTAGCTCAAAATTGTATATTAATATAAATACAGATAAAAGGTTTATAAACCAATTTTTAATTTTTTTCTTTAAAATATTCCAGCATTAACACCAAAGTCAAGGGTTTGGATCACCCATACTGGGCAGCCATCAAAAAAAGAAAAAAAAAATTAAAATATTCCAGTATTTAATAAAGTTATCATTAGGCATCGCAACTAAAAAGTAAATTACAATACTATGCTATATATAATACATATAAGGTGTCTTCAAAAAGCTCTTGGAAAATAAGTATTATAAAAAAGCTATGCATGGATTACAAAGTTTTTTGCAACAAAATAAACTCGTACTAACTTGTTATAACATGTCTAAACAAGATCTAGATTGAGATACTAAGGATAAAGACATCAGTTTGAAAGGAGTCTCTATCAGAGCAATATAAATTCTGCTAAAATGGACGCAAGAACAAACATCAAATTGATGGAAGCATGGTGACAGAATGGTGACATCACGGATGCTTAATGAAAAGTTTATGGGGACCAAACCCCAAAGAAATAAGCAGTTTACAAATGGATAATTCATTTTAAGAAAAGACAATGTTAAAGGTCAAGCCTGCAGTGGCAGATCATCCACATCAATTTGTGAAGAAATAATTAATCTTGTTTGTGCCCTAAATGAAGAGGACTGATGATTAATAGCAGAAACAACAGCCAGCATCAGAGACATTTCAACTGGTTCAGCTTACACAATTCGGACTAAAAAATTACAGTTGAGCAAACCTTACATTAGATGGGTGCCAACATTGTTATGCCCAGATCAGCTTCAGACAAGAGCAGAACTTTCAATGGAAATTTTAAACAAGTAGGATCAAGATCCTGAAGCATTTCTTGGAAGAATTGTAACAGGAGATGAAACTTGGCCTTACCAGTATGATCCTGAAGACAAGGCACAATCAAAGTAATGGCTACCAAGGGATGGAAATGATCCAGTCAAAGCAAAAGTGGCAAAGGTCATGCCAACAATTATCTGGGATGCTCAAGGCATTTTGCTTGTTGACTTTCTAAAGGGCCAAAGAATAACATGCTCATTATGAGAGTGTCTGGAGAAAGTTAGCCAAGACTCTAACAGAAAAATGTCTAGGAAAGCTTCACCAGAGTCCCTCTCCACTATGACAATGTTCCTCTCATTCCTCTCATCAAAGGTAATTTTGCAAGGGTTTTAATGGAAAACCATTAGGCATCCCCCTTGTAGTCCTGATTTGGCTCCTTCTGACTTTTTTTTTTTGCTTCCTAATCTTAAAAAAATCTTTAAAGCACACCCATTTTTCTTCAGTTAATGATGTAAAAAAAAAACTATATTGCCATGGTTAAATTCCCAGGACCCTCCGTTCTTTATGGATGGGCTAAACAGCTGGTATCATTGCTTATGATAGGGTATTGAACTTGATAAAACTTATGTTGACAAATAAAATTTATATTTTTTGTCTTTTAATTCCATTTCCCACATACTTTTTGAAGTCCCCTTGTATGTGCTACTTAGCACAGTATCTGATTATAAAATGTTTTCTACACTAGATTCATGTTCAGAATCATTTGGCAGAGTTTCTACAATGACGAAGTATAAATTAAAAATCTCTATAAATAAGAATTGTCATTACTTGTGTCATCCTCACAAAATCAGGAGAATGTGTATAGGGATAGAGATGAAGGGTCAGTGTAGTAATTTTGGCCTCACCTAAGGAAAGTTCTGGGCTAAGTCTTTTGGAAGTCCCAGTAATTGGAATGTCTTTATTATTTATGATGGGCCCCTCAGACCAAACCTGAATTTATGCCAAGGAGAGACCCGTGGTGAGCTCCTGGAGCCTTATGTCACTGAGGTCTCCAGGGAGGGGTGAATGCTGGAGAGTGAGTGCAACCACATGGGCAAAGAACCAATCAACCATGCCAACTAATAAAGCCTTAATAAAAATCTGGACCCCAAAGCTTAGATGAGCATCCCTTACTCGCAATATTATGTGTGTATTGTCACACATAGTGGCCAAAAGTAGATAATGCCGTGCACGACTCCACGGGGAGAGGACACTGCAGGTTCCGAGTTTGGATCCCTCCTGGACTCTGCCTTATGTATCTATTCCATTTTCTGGTTCTAATTTGTATTTTCTTTCCCTGTAATGAATATGACTGTATGTATAATAGAGAGTTAGTTCTCTTTCTAGCAAATTATCAATCCTGAGGGTGGATTTGGGAAACCCCTGAATTTGTAATCACCAAGACACTCTCAACTATAGTAGACACTCAAACCTTTGATAATTGAAGGCAATTTATTTTTCTTCCTTGCTATTTTCTTTTCTGGAATGTGTATGTAATTAGTCCTGCTTTGAAGGAATTCTCTCTCTCTTTTTTTATACTGTTCCTAATGAGAAATGTAGGAATTCTCTTTTTAAGAACAGTAAGGAAGACCAGTATGATTACTACTGCCAGTCACTATCTGACTCTGCTAAAAGCAGAATCTATAAGATTTAGACATTTGCATAGCACTGGGATTTGAGGACTGATATATTTTCAACAAAAAATTCTTTTTTTTTTTTTTTTTTGTGACCGGTAAGGGGATCGCAACCCTTGGCTTGGTGTCGTCCGCACCGCGCTCAGCCAGTGAGCACACCGGCCATCCCTATATAGGATCTGAACCCGCAGTGGGAGCGCCACTGCGCTCCCAGTGCCGCACTCTCCCGAGTGAGCCATGGGGTCAGCCCCTCAACAAAAAATTCTAATACAAAAAATAACATTACAGATTTGCAGTTAGTGCTTTTCATAGAAGTTACCATGGTTAAATTGTATACATTTTTAAAATGCTGATGTTCTTATTTTAGTGATTTTCTTTTTTAATTTTTTATTTTTTTGTGTGACCGGTAAGGGGATTGTAACCCTTGGCTTGGTATCGTCCGCACCGCGCTCAGCCAGTGAGCGCACGGGCCATCACTATATAGGATCTGAACCTGCGGCCTCGGCGCTCCCAGCACCGCACTCTCCCAAGTGAGCCACGGGATCAGCCTTTAGTGATCTTTTAAAACAAAGCATTTTGTGTAAGATTACTTCAGTAGTAGAGATGGGAATAAAATCCTGGATATGGCTTATCACATTTGCTCTCTATGCACTGAACTGATAGTCACAACAGAAGCAATTATATTCATATTATGAAGAAAATACACACCAAATTACTGTAATTACTTCACTTTGAGGCTAGCAAAGAGATATTTTAAACAAAAAACTTTAGGCTCTTATTATCATACAGGTAGCAAAATTCTAACTAGTTTAAATAAAACCCAGTCTTTCATGCTAGAGATAGGCTGGAGAAAAGGAAAGATCATATGTGATAAAAGTAACTAGAGAGGTAGCGAAAAGATCAGTGATTCATTTTCAATACATGGAGGAGACTCATTCATGGGTAAGTCATAGACATAGGTAAAGAGGAAAAAAAGGAAATATGGAAAAAAATCTATATAGTTACTTATGAAAATAATCTATTTCAATAAATCTATTAAATATACAAAAACCGGGTACCAAAAAATGACAAGAGAAATTTATCAATTAGAAAGCCATTTAACAAAAGACCAGTTTATACATTCCTTTGAATTATGTCCATAAAAAATTTAAATATACAAATTCCCAAACACAAAAGAATGTTTCTAAACAAATGAAATATAGACAGACAAATTCAGGATCCAAATCATTTAAAACATATTCTAAAAGTCATAGTAAATTATATCTTGTAATAAGAAATGAAACAGTAAAATGACAATTATATGCAACTGTTGAATTTAAAAAAAACTCAATGATGGAGCAATGGTACCACAATTTAAATAAGCACTCTTTACTACCACTTTTATAATATACCTATTCTAAATATTGTAAGATAATGGATTTAAAGAGAAAATGTTGTAACAACAAAAAAATAGAATTATAGTTATTCTTAAAACCTCCTAATTTTGCCAATGTGTCTAAAGTTGTGAATTATAGAAATACCCTCCAGAAAACTCAGGTATTTGGTAAAGCAAGGCACATAGGACCAGATTTTGATAAAGGTGCTTTTCCTTTGGTCCTATAACTACATTAAATATTCTGGAGATTCTTAAGATGATTTTCAGTATAGCATAAATAATTTTTATAAACATTTTCTTTTGTAAAACATACATCCATAGTAATTAAATATTATAACAGTGAATGTAAATAAAAAGAGTAATGCTAAACCCTGTATTTAAAACAAAAATATCCAACTCAGTTGAATGACTACAATGACATTTTAAAAGTCCAGTAATTTGACATGTATGAATAGTCAGCATTATTCTAAGTGTACAGAACATAAAGTCTCAATTAGTTTCCTTTCAGATTCTATCTCCTTAGAATCTAGTTTACCTTTCCATCTATGAAATTCTGTAACATTCAATATAAACTGATGTAAACATTTAAGATTTGCATCTCTAAACTATATATTATATCATAAAAGTAGCTTACGGCTTCTCTAAAATCACATATTAAAAAATTGATATTACTGTGTTGAAACATTTACCTATTGCATTCCAAACTTTTCTTCCCAAATATCACATTCTTAATTTTTAATAGAACTATCAATTGGCACTCTTCTTCCATGAATTAGCACATTTTCACATTGAACAAAGTAGTTGAGACATAACAAATAAACTTTTAAAAGTATAGGAATTTAAATAATCAAGGAGTCATCATTATAAAAGCTTGATACAATAAGGCATTTGGAGGTCATCAAAACACACACCACACACAAGAAAATGGTATCATCTGTATATATGACATGATCTAGGACAAATGCCCACCTTCTCAGGTATGATTATTTCTTTATGATTTAAAAATTATAAAACTATACAGCCTAATCTCTAATAACATTTTCAAAACTACTAGAAAAGCAAGATATAAATTCTGTCTAATGAAAGCTTGCTTTGAAAATACACTTTAGACTATTTTGTCCATTTTCACAACTCTTTGATTACACTTTTATAACCTTTGTTAGAAATCTTGGAAATTGTGTTATTTTGGATACCTAAAAATGTGTTATTACTGTAACTGACATGTCTAATATCTAATAATTTGTATAATTTTTTGAAGTGCTAAAATAGGGGCAGACTAAACCTGAGTTAACAATTAATTGTTAATGCACACTGAATTAATTCATGAGTAATCAACCAGTACTTCAATTTGAGCCGAACATAAATCTTTATATTTAGTCTTGAATTCTGTATATTTGCAGGATTGAGATATCATTTAGCAGTAGGTAATAAGATGGAAATCTGAATATTGTTGGAGTCTAAAAACACCATGCTCAAAATGTGGTAGTTACTGAAAATCATAAATCGGGCATCCTGAAAGTTCACCTGGTACCAATTTGCAGTCACCAGCAAACTGATTTTGAACACTTTTAAACTGTGGATGGAATTGATTAGGACTGCAATATGTAGATACTATGTTTGCATTAGCAAGGTAACACTGCCATTTCAAATTAGCCAAGAGTCTCCAACAGTTTATAACATAGTATTTTTAAGCCAAATTCTGTTTAATGAAATCCATTAGAACTACATAAAAATATTTATTTTTAAATAGTTTTTATATCTTTTAGGACAGACTTTTAAAAATATATACAATATGACTGAGAAAAATAAAGTAAAATACTTCTTATACTCAATAGGTAATTCTGCCTATAGTCAATAATTAAATAAAAACCATATTCCAATTACAGAAAGCATTTTTGCCCACCAATTCATCTTATCATTTCTAATATAGTCTCTTTCCCTTGAAAAACTTATTAAATAACTCATGTAATTTGCATCCTCAACTCCAGTGTTAATCAAAAAAGAAAAAAACCCCACTATTTTAAACCAAAATGGTGGCTCCTTCCCAGCAGCTTTTGTCGGGACATAGAAAGGGTACTCAGAATTCAGCTACCTCTCCCAGTCATATCATCAGACTATTCCTGGGGATAATGGATTTCTGAGAGATGTAAAAAGTTCTGAGCAGCATTGAATTTAAAGTTATAGCACTATTTAATGTAATATGGCAATCTGGAATGTCTTCAAGAAAAGCCATTTTGGTCTCAGTCCACTGTCTAGTAGATTTTTGGTTTTGGTTTTTGTCAACAATTGTAGATTAAAGGAAGTTTTTACAGATCAATGAGTAAAATATTCATTTAAAAACTTTCTAGTTGTATACAGTATATGCTTGATAGTTCAAAATTTTCTAAATGGAGATATTAGACAATAATATTTTTTATTTTAAATTATTAAATGAATATTTAACCCCTTTAAATTACATTTCAGAACTTTAATGGCAATTAACACACAAGTTTAACTTAAAGTATATTAAGGTATATTTATCTGATTATTAAGTATATTTATCTGATTTACAGAAAAGAAATACAATTAAGAGATTAAGGGCAAAATTCCATTAGTGCAAAAATCACTGGCCACTATCTAGCACAGGAGCAAACGGACTGCTTTTAGCAGTCTCAAAGCATTAAAAGGTCTTATGTGTATATGGAGAAATAGATATGTGAATCTCTACATTAAATTCAAATATGATTTTAGTCTCTGACAAATCAGACTTAGTGTACTACTACTTTATCAACTGTTATGTAGTTGAACAAATAATATTCAGCAATCCTTTAATAGTCTTTTGTATAAATATAAAAATCTCAGATACATGAAAATGTTTTTTCAAATCATACTTCTATTTTTTCAGAGCTTTATAGGTAATAATTTTCAAACTTTGACTATTCCATGTGATTTGATATATCTGTACAGAAAGAGTAAGATAAAAAACGTTTAATGAGATTAAATAGACCTAATTTGCAAAAATTGATTTCTGACATTTGTCATGTGCTATTGCAAAGAGTGCATAGAACATTTCTGCAGCAATCAAAAATGTAATATCTTTTTAAACTCAGATTTCAAGTTTCCTCCAATATTCCTTCTAATTATAATCCCTGGAAATACTTTCAAGTTTTGATTTCTAGATGCATTGTATGTTGTTACATATACACATATTTTATCCTTAAATATATTTTCAAACCATTTGAACAGTATGATCAGATTTAATGATGACATCTTCACAGAATCTGTAGAAGTCCTCTGTGCAAGATTAATGTTGAGATTCCTAGTACACCATCATGAAAAACCATTTAAAGATAGTACACAACTACGCTTTAGTGGGATTTCCTGCAGGTTTGGGATCATAGCCATATAAGAAAGTAGCTGTTATTACAAGGATGGCTCCAAGGAAAAAGACACTAAATAAGATGAAGGAAAAACGAAAAAGAGAAAATCAGATTAAAAGCAAAACAAGTTCCTTCTATTTCTTTACTATAAAAACAATTATAATTTGGGGGAAAAATGTTCCAGTAACATAGCTAACAAACATTGAATACTTAATACATTCCAGGTATTCAGCTAAATGCTTTACATGCATTATCTCATTTAGTTCTCACGACAACCCTAGAATAAGTACTAGTATTCTTTTTTCACTAGTATCTTCATTTTTTACATATGAGGATACAGGTTTGAAGAGTTTAGATAACTTGCCTAAAGTCCCACAACTTTAACTGGAGACAAGATTCACATCCAGCTATGTCTGACTCTAGAGCCTGCACTCTCATCCACTGCACTACATTGTCTCCCAAAACAAAGATATTTTAAATATTGTTTTTCACCTTAACACGCATTTTGCATGCAATACATTCAATAGTAAAAGGTCTCAATTCTTTAAATATTTGAAAACATAAAAGGAAAATTTCATTCTTTTATGTTATACCGAAATAAAGCTCCATTTAAAATCTAAGGTAGTAATAAGCAAAACTCAGGACTGATTTCTACAGGATGCTTTACAAAAGGAAATTAGATTAAATGCAGGTTTCTTCTTTATTCTCTCTATAGATATAATCTACCTTACTATAAACTGGAAATGAACTTAAATTGGATATAAACTAGACTATCAATCTTAACTTTTGTTATGTACATTTAAAAAAATTCTGTTAGAGAGACATGAATTAGTCTTGGTTTTAAAGTTTCTATTAACAGTTCAAAGTCACTCACTTGATTTAAAAAAAAAACAACTTGTTCTGTAAAGGAAAAAGATCACTAATCCTTACTGTAACATAAAAGGCCCTTCATAATATGGTCCCTCCAACTTCCTCCCCTACACTTCACCACCCAATCTATAGTTCTGCAACTCCACTAGGTGAACACAATGTGTCGTTTCATGATAGTGCCTTCGTATATGGTATTCCCTCTGCAATTTCCTTTTTCACAAGAAAATGCTTATTCATAACAATTCAGGTCTAATATTTCCAAGACTCACTCCCCTAGGCAGAGTTACTCTATATAACATTTATCACAGTTATTAAATAATGCAGTACTTATATGTCTGCTCCCCTGCTCAACCATGTGCTCTTCATTCATAGTTGTACCCCCAGTGCCTAGTGTGTGTGTGTGTGTGTGTGTGTGTATATATGGAGCTGAATAAATAATTACCTGTTATGATTAATAACTAGTGTTGACTTGATGCAAATGGGCAACTTTTCAAAAGCCTTGGGTGCAGTTATTCATATAAGATTAATATAACATTCAACCTCCTGTAATGTATGGGAAGAAATCACTACCATAGGGATATCTGCTAATTATTTTAGGCTTTGGATAAGCTTTTGACAGGATACTTCATTAGTTATTATCAACTTTTCTTAGTTCATGCTCAACTGAAAAGTTGTCTGATCCAACCTTTTGGATCAGTGTAGGAATCCCTTCTATGATATCTCTAACAAGATCTAGATCTACTTGAATACCTAATAATGTCAAGAAATCCCTGCTTTTTAAAAAATTTTTATTTTTTATATATGTGGTTTAATGATTTATTTATTTATTTACTTTGGACCCTGGACCTTGATGTTATTAAGAACCATGCTCTAACCAACTGAGATAACTGCCCAGCCCCTTTGCTTCTTAAGCCAGCAATTTTTAGGTGGTACTGAGAGGAAAAATTTTGTTAGAAAAAAAATTAGAAAAATATTTTCAGAATTCAATGATTATTTCAAGGATTTAAGACCCCTCTAATAAACTGTATATATATTTCTATTGCTGCATTAATCATACTGTTATAATTTATTTATTCACATGTCTGTCTCTCCAATCACTGTGACCTCGTTGAAGACAAGAAACTGTGTCTCCTTCATGCACTCCTTTTTTTCCTAGGACCTAGCACAATGACTGGCAGGCCTAGTGAGCACTTAATAAACTTTTCATAAAAGAATAAGCAAGCCTAAATGGAAGGATGGTAATACCAATAAGCAAATATTGAGCACAAGAAAAATGTTAGGAAAGTGAGTATTGGTGATATATTATCAGTAGAGATGTCTAGCAGTCAGTAGAAAATAGATATCTAGTATTTAGGTGACCTTGGGACTTGTCATAGAGAGGACAGATAAGATATGGTAGTGAATCAGATGTCCAAGGGAATGAGTGAGGATTGACACGTACCAGAGGGACAATCGGAAAGGAAAGTATAGGCATACCACCCTTCAGAGAAGCAACAAAAGAAAAAAAAGAAAAGTTAAATTTCAGGATATGGAAAGTAGATAACAAATGCAAATATATTACTATATTTGGAATAGAGTTGAATGAAGATTGAGAAAAGTTTACTGAAATTATTGCTTAACATGTGTTCTTCACAAAAGTGAGATTGCATTAAGATAGAGGGTTTAGTTATCTATTTTGAAAAAATAATTCATCTTCTCCATCTGGCTTGGTTTCCTGGGCATATTTTCAAAACATTCATTCATTCATTTACTCATTCATTCAGTAATAACAGTATCATTGTCTTTTCTCCTTTTATCTTTATCTAAACTCCCTCAAAAACATGAATTTACACGCAAGTATATATTTTATTGACTGACTACTATCTTTTGTCCCTCTACTGGTTTACTTCTTCATTTACTTGTATATTCCCGGCATGATTCAGACTTCAAGTTAACTCCCCCGACCTTATATGAGGTTTAATTTTTTTGAAAAAGATTTGTCTTTTCAAGTATACCCTAAAAATCTGCAAGTTTCAAACATTCTCAAATAACAATAAAGCACATAATTTCTTCATCTAATGAAGCATCATTAAGATATAGGTGTTAATCATTAGGCTAGTCTCACCAGCTAAGTGATTCATTCCCACACCAAGCCGAAAACAGAAATACTTTAATATTTTTGTCTCAGAAAAATTACAGATCTTAACATTCATGTCCCATATCCATTGTCCAGGTTGTTAGAGAAGAATTAAAATCATAAATGTTCAGTACAGAAATATAAAGAGCATACTATATTTTTCTACTGCCAAATTCCACCCATAATCCTATCTCACTAACTCTTAAGAACGCAAATGAATTTTACCAGCTGTGTTAAGATGTTATGATCTTGAACATTCACTCAGCAAACATACTGACTACCTATTATGTGCCAAGTACCAGTCCTGTCTACCTATCAGATGATGTGATAAGTCTTCTGAAGAAAGAAGGAAAGAAGGTTGGAATGGAGGGGGGTGCTCTTTTATTTAGGGTGGTCTCTTGTTTCAAAAGTGACATTTGAGACAAGACCTGAGGAAGTGAGGAAGTGTGCCATGTGAATATATAGACAATGAGTATTCCAAGAAGATGGGAAGACAAATTAAAAACCATAGCAATGAGGTCAATATAGCTTTAAAAACATAAAAGAGTGAAGAGGAAAGGAGTTTCAGATGAGTACAGAGCAGTAGCTGAGGGCCAAATCATGTAGGCTACTGACCAACGAAAACTTTTGAGTGAGATGGGAAATAGAGGGCTTCTGAGCAGAGCAGTGATATGATCTGATTTACAGTGAAAAAGAATCATTCTGATTGCTGAGTGGAAAAGACTGGGATTACAGAGCAAGAGAAAAAAGGAGACAAGTCAGGAAACTGTTTCCTTAATCCATATGAGAATGAAGGTAGCCTGGACCAGGGAGTTAGCAGTGGAAGTTGTGAGAAATGGTCAAATTCTGCAAATATTAAAAAGGAAGAGTTGGCAGGATTTGTTTCTAGATTAGAAAGAGATGTAAGAGCATCTTGTTAGTTAGTTCAGTTGGTTACAGCACAGCCTTATAATAGCAAGGTCACAGGTTTGGATCCCCATACCAGCAGCCATAAAAAAAAAAAGAATAATATGTAACAGAAAGATGAAGAGAAGCTGATGACCTTACTTCTTACTTCACCAGAAAGCACAGAACTTCCATACACTTTAACCTACTCTTATAAACCTATTTATATTCCTACATATTGACACTGCCTTCTCTTAGGTTATTATGTATAAACTGTGTTCCTATCTAAGTCAAGGAGGATTTTGGCCTAAGCAAATGGAAGTATAAAGGTGCTGCCAATTTACTAAATAGGGAAACCCAGAAAAGGACAGGGAATGAGTTATCTAGTAGACATTAGAGTGAAAATGTCAAATAGGCAGACATACAAGGGTCTTCAAAAAGTTCATGGAAAGATACATATTCTCTTAACTCCATTTTTCCACAGATTTTTTGAAGTACCCTCGTATAAGCCTGGAATTAAAATGTAAATGAGAATTGTTAGCATACTTGTATAGATGACATTTAAAGTCATGAGAATAGAGATACCAAGAAAGTAAGTGCAGATCCTTGGGAAATTCCCAAGTTTAGAGTTTGAGAAAATCAGGAGGGGAGTAAACTTGGAGGAAAATCAAGAATGCTATCTTAGAAGCCATTAAAATATAATTCCATTCGTCTGGGATTATAAATTAATAATTAAAAAAAACAATAGAACCTTCAACAGCAACTATAATGATTATTCATTACACTCAATTCTTGATTCTGTCTTCTCCCTTGGCATTCATAACATTACACAGTTCTGGGTATCTTGCCTTACCTATCACTCCTTTTGCAATTCCTTTCCAAACTGCTCTTCTTCCTGCTATCACCTAATTTGAGTTTTCTCATGAGCCACTTTCTCTATATAAACTAATAAGATTATCTTCTTCAGAATGCCATTCATTCTCCTGCCTTTAGCTACGTAAATTCTGCATTTAAAAATGTCATTATATGACTTATGACTTTATATGACTTACTTTTTTTACATGACTTTTTACTTTGGGGGAAAAAATACTCAGATTTACTGGTAAAATTCTGGCCAGCCAAATTTGTATTAAACACTTGTGGAAGATCTTTCAGGAATTTAGTTTGAAATCGTTTTTTAAAAAATAGTTAAATGGATTTTTATATTTCAGTGATTCTTCAAAAGTTGTAATAGAACAAAATTTAACAGATGATCTTATAAAGAATTCTTATTTTTCTATAACTTTTGGGGATCTAAAGAAATAGAAAAGAATATTTTACCTGGATGGCACAAAATCTTGTAGCCAAAAATAGGATATCAGTGTTGATAATATTATGGATAAAGAGGTTGCAAATCCTTTTAAAATATTATCCGCATACTTAATAACAGCAGCTATAACAAGGCCTCCAAGTGCCTGCAGAAGTTTTAAAAGATTATTTTTAAAATAAACATATAAAACTGCTTTTCAAAACAATTTCATTATGCAATGAAGCATTAGGCTTTTGTCCTAAAATTTAATCCCATTGTAGTGATTTATATTAAAGATCTCTTATTACCAATAGAATTCTAGGTTTTGTACAATAGCCGTCTTATTTCAAAAGGCATCTGATAAAGTAACTACTAGAACAATCTGCAGTTTGTTATAATGCAGTTGACCGTATATGTATAAAACATCAATCCTCATCCAATTTAGTAATTAAACATCACTTGTTTGGACAAATGTGTGGAGCTTAGTCTCTCGAAATAGTGAAATATTTTTACTTTTAAGTAAAAATAAAGTAACTCAAAAGTTATTTTACTAGCCTTTCAACAGTCTCCTAACTTGGCTTTTTTCCTCTAATTTCTCTCTATCCTAATCCACCTCTCATTGCTGTCAGATTACTCTTCCTAAAGCAGTTTTAATTATGCTCTTTAAGAGTATAGAAAGAACTTCCTATCAGATCTCTCTACCAAGTTGTGGCTACTTCAGTAATAGGGTTTTACTATACTACATAGTTTTGTTTTCTGCCAAATGTTACTTATCAGCATACTAATCTGGGTTACCAACCTTAATAATTTTCACTATACCTCTTCTACAATGGAAGCTCTATTTAAAAAAAAAAAAATCATGAATTAAGCCAACTGAGTTCACTACAAGTAAATATTTGGGTCCCAATATTTCTTGGTGATGCTGTCATTCATCTTTTTACTCCCTACTGAATCCCTCATACCAGTTATACCAAATCTTTTTTATTTTGCTCAAATCTTCAGCCCCTTCTTAAAGGGAAGATGGCTTCTCATCTTTGCTAGGATAAAATACGTTACACATAAACTTTCCTGACTTATCCTATCTCCACTTCAAATTTTCTCTCAAGTTTTCACTTATCCTTGTGTCCTTTTCTCCTTTCTTAAAAATAGAAGTATCCTTCCTGCTTTCAAAACACAACTATCCTCTGCCACCTTCACCTACCTTATGGAACCTTGCTCCATATAGCTTCAAATACCTCTAGGAGAGCAGAAGGCTCTGAGGGCAGTGACTTGTATCTTTATTTTTATATCCTCTAGAGTACTCAATAAGTACTTTTTCATGATGAAATTAATTACTAAACTCTTGAATAATTTCAAGTTGTATATAAACCAAAGTAATTTGACAGGAATAGTCCAATATGTACTATATAATATGAGGCTATATAAACTGTCACAGAATTAAATATCTAGATCTGCTTCTTTGGTCTTAATGAGCTGATCATAGACTTACTGTACAATGATAAAAGTTGTAGAAAAATCAGAAGTTATATTTGCCCTTAGCTTCAACTATTTTATTCTTAAATTGGCATTTTCATTATGTTAAATTTAAAAACCACAAAATTCATTCATGACTTCATTTCAAAATAAGTTTTCATTAGGGCATAAAGACCAATTCTATTTTAATTTTCCTGAATAAACTAGATACAATGAGAGCACTAACAGGAGGGATCTTTTTCTTCACATCAGTAGATACTTTGATTTTCTATATTAAAATAAAATTTATTAGCATTAAATATAAGACTTTAAATGCATTATCTGAAGAAAAAAAAATGCTTTACCTGAAGAACAACAACTATCCAGGTCAGTTGGTTATATCCCTGAAAAAATCCATTCTTTGATACCAATTCTCCATCGTAAATGTATACACCCATTAATCCAAATACACTGCCAAAGAAACCTAAAAAAAATGTAAAGTCTATGTCATATGTCATTTAGTTTGTCTGATGAGATATTTTTCCATTGACATTCCAAATAGTTTTATACTTAACTTTTTCTTTTTGATAAAATTATACTACTTTTTAAAATTTTTATTTGGTTTATATAAACTTAACAAAAGTATACTTAGTACTGCATTATGATTATAAGACAAAGATACAAGAATATAAAAAGACAAATCCATAGAATATAAAAAAGAAAAGGGATTACCAACTTTGGAGCAGCAAAATAATATAATGCATAAACTATATGGTTGTCTCATTCAAGTATTTGTAAAATGCTCACTTTTGGCATGTTGTTATAACTTCTATCTTCTTATTGCTAGGTCTAGATTTTCATGTATTCATATTTATACATGCAGATATAAAACCTCAGGTATGTGTTTTTAAGAAGTTTTGAAAGTATAATCATTAATATCATCCCAAATCATGGAAATAAATAAATAATAGTCTTCGGCAACATCAGAATCTGTTAGGGAAAGTCAGCTCAGTGACAGCAGAAACTATGTCTTGTTCACGGCTGAATCCCTCACCTCTACTACATAGCCTATCACATGACTATTGGATCGAAGAGATTTCCAGAGGCACTGCTAGGCTATGAATAAAGAAATGGATGCCTACAGGGACCACATCTTATGGGTAGTCTCTGAAATATATGCAGTAAAAGATTGCGGGGGTAAAGTGATTTTTTTTTTTTATATAAAGCCACAAATAATCAAAGTACTACATAATGGAAAGGAACGAAAAAGGATGTAAGATGCTCTAAACTTTAATTTATGCCAGCTCTATCCTTTTAATGTCTGATTTCAAACATGAAATTAATGTTGGCATATAATTACAAAAACACTCCCAATGGTACTAAGTTTTTTAAAATTTATAAAAGAAACACTTGATAATTAGTAAATTACTAAATATACATATAAAGTACAGAAGGATACATACATATCATACATGTCAGTATGTACAGACCTACTGCATTCTAACAGTTGCATAATATTCCACTGTATGGATGACCATGTGCCAGGAATTGTTCTAAGTGCTTTATGTAAACTCACTACAACCCTATGAGGTGGATACTTTTATGCCATTTTACAGATGAAGACATTGAAGCACAGAGAGTTTAAATAGCTTGCTCAAGTACACACTGCTGGTAAGTAGTGGATTCAGGATTTAAATCCAGGCAGTGTGGCTCTGAAGACCATGATCTTAACCACTGTACTATTTGATATTGATCATTTATTTAGTCAGTCCATTAAATGCTGTTTTCTATGTTTTACAGTTGTTACCAATGCTGAAATGAATAACTTGGATATCTATCTTTGTACTCTTGTAGGATAAATTCTTATTCGGATGTAAAATTCTTGCATCAAAGCCTACAATTATTTAAAAATTTGGTAAACATTCCAAATTGAGATTCAACAAGGTTTTATATCAATCTATACTCCTAGCAACCATAGGTATTCCTGTTTCTTCACTTTCCGGCTAACACTGATCTTATCAATTTGCTAATCTTTGACAATGTGATGTTTGAAAGCTGCTATTATATTGTTTTAATTTTTGTTCTTGTAATTTTGAGTTGACTTTAATTTAGTTAAGTATCCTTTCAAAACTTTCAATCATCTTACTATTTTTTTCCATAAGCACTGTGCTATGTGAGGTCAAAGCAAAGAATATTCTTATCCATGAATTGCCATAGAATCATGAATTCTGACTTGTCTTCCATTTTTATCTTACAATTCAAGAAAATTGTAGGTAACTCACACAAACCTTGAATACTTCTTTTTCTGATATTTGCATATTTATATAAATAGCAGACATTTATTACTGCTTACTATATGCAAGGTGCTTTATTATAAACCCTCTACATGTAGTATCTCATTTAATTCTCATAGCAATATATGAAGTAGGTACTATAATTAAATACATTTTGTAGATGAGGAAAGGGAAGCAGAGAAAGGTTAAGTAACTTCCTTAAGGTCACATAGGTGGTAAGTGATGAAATCAGGATTTGAGTAGCCTGACTTCAAAACCAAATATTCCTAAGCACTCTGCCATAGATACATGCTTCGTAAAATGGTGAATTAAACTGCTTAATGCTTTTCAAGTCTGTGAACTTGCCTTCTAGACAAACTGCACAAAGAACCCAATTAAATTTTGCTTTAAAAATATTTACCTTGAATGTTCTTAAAGAAAAAACAAAAGAACACCTTGATACATTTCTACAAATTTTATAGAGAAATTTAAATCCTATGTGATAAAATAAAGGGTTAGTCTGTTTGTTATCACATTGCTTGAAAACAACTGGAAGTATAGACTTAAATCAAATTTGGAAGGTTTGACTTAAAATACAAGCCATTAGGAATACAGACAATTTACTGTCTAGGGCCTGAAGGGGCCTGTATGACTGATGATCAAGAGAGACATGATATAGGGCTGGCTGGTTAGCTCAGTTGGTTAGAGTGTGGTGCTAATAACACCAAGGTCCAGGGTTCAATCCCTGTACTGGGCACTCGCAAAAAGAAAAAAAAAAAAAAAACAGAGATATGATATACTTATTAAGTTGATATGGACAGAAAGAATAGTGGTTTCAAAGATAAGCCCCAAAATCACAAGGATAGAGGCTTAAAACAGAATGTGTTGATCTGCAATAAGATGCTTCTCATATTAGCAGTTCTACGTATCATCATCCAAAATAAGTATATCCAGAAATATGAAATGCTAGAATCTTTGTATGAGGATTTAAATTTTACAATACCATAAATAGTTTAAATATTTGTTCAAAGGCAAACCTTCAATATGTGGAATTTTTTTTTCTTTTAAACTATTTACCTTCAGTTAGAAAAATGCTGCAGTGTTTAAGAACTAAAACACAATATTTTGAAATAGAAAGGCATATTAAGAGACAAAAAGTTCATTTCAAACTTCCTCCATTTAAGTATATTAAGCCCCTTTTCCAGGAATAAAATATGTAAGTTATTTGCAACACCTTTGTGGAAAGAAGTGGCAATCAAGGATAAAGTTACGAAGGCTCCAAATGGTGAAGACAGAAACAGGCTACACCCTTATGTTGCAGACCTAAAATTCCATATTCTTGTATAAAAGTTATTCATTTAAAATAAAATTTTTTAAAAGGCAAAAACATTGCCAAATATTTGGATCAACAGCAGATTTTATGCAAGGCTTATTTGTTTAAAGATGTACAGAAATCTTTAAATATAACAATATAATTACTTTTTAAAATAACTCTAAAACATTTAAAACTTACCAAGCTGAATGTTTCTTATCCACACCGATTGTTTTGTTTCTTTTAAGATTTTCTCAAAGTAAACCCCAGCAAAGCCACTTGAAAAACATGCTGTGAGAACTGCCATGAGACCTACAAACTGAGAGCCAGCTGAATGTTCCTTAGAATCAAGCTCTTGAGAATCTGAGGGCCACTGAATAAAAATAAAAGTAAAATTGAAGTTTAATTCCTATAATATTTTATAAAGTACATATTAAGAACCCACTCTTAGACCATAAGATAAAAATGCAACAAACATCAATCTTGGGAATTACAGAGAGCTTTTGAAAAAAAAATCTTAGAATCATTTGATATTTTTTTCCTACAGTGATAATATATATTACTATTACAAATTTTTTAATTTCAAAAAATACCCTAAGAATAATAAATATTTTACATTTCATTAGACAATGCGGCTCTATAGCATAGTTTATACCAATTCCCTTTAGCCTAGAGAGTTGACAGACATTAGTACTAATATCTCTTCTGAGCTCATCTATGATTTCAATGCTGCTGTCCAGAAGCTTGTTATTTCCTTAAAGTCAATGTGACTAAAATTTACTCATCCCTCTCCAAAACAATATACCTCGAATGCCTTTATTTCTATTAAAATGCCACCATTCAAACCTAAGTTTTTTAATCTTCTTGATCTCCATTCCCTATGATATTTATTAGTTTCAAACTCATAATGATTCTTCCCTCATAACAATTCTTATATCGCTGCTTTGGGATACTGCAATCCAACTAACTGGCCAGTTTAGGTCCTATCATGCTTTCTGCCTGTTCTCCATTCCTCCGGTCTTCCTCCCCACCAATTGGCCTTGCATGCCTATAGGATTTCTCTGATATGCCTCACTCCCTTGCAAATCTCCAGAGAGGTCTTATAGCTTAAAGCAATCAAGTCTAAGCTTCTACCTCAGTACTGAAGACCACATATAACTTGGTACCAATCTGTATTTTGTAATTCAATCTTTTACCACATCTTTTGTCAATCCTTTGTTCCTCAAAGACGTTTATTATCATTCCTTAACCTATGTTTTGCTTATCCACAGCTGCACATTAAAAAAAAATTTTTTTTTTAATATCCCTTTTTCTGTAATGCTTTTTCTGGTACTTCAAACCTACCAAAACACAAAGAGTGGGAAAAGTTTTAAGGAGTTTTAATTCTGGTTCTGCCATACCTAGATCTGTGATCTTCAGCAATTTAGTTAACCTCTCTGAGCCTCAATTCTTCTGTAAGTTGGAAAGAATAATATCCACCTTAAATAGTTAGGTATTACATGAAATAATACAGGATGAGCACTGAGTGGGGAGCCTGGGATATAAGTGTTCAATATTCAGGTTTCATTATAACTATTATCTTTCAAAACCTAATTTTAATCACACCTCTTCCCTGAAGCTTTCCCAAGTGACTTGTACTAAGGTGTATAAAATCAGTTGACAACTAATCATGTAAAAACAAATGTCATTTGTCTTTCCTGATCTTAAACTCTGTTTAAATCTTGCTAATAAGGCACTAGAAATGAAAAGAGCAGTGAAAAACACAGCTGCTGCCTTCCAGGATCTTAAGTTGTAGTGGTAAAGATAGACATACAAATAAGCACTTAACTTTAATATACAGTACTATGGAAAAGATATCTACAAAGTACTATAGAAACAGAGAAAAAAGGATAAATGCTCAGCCTGGGATGTTAGAAAGATATTCTGGTAGAGGTAATAACTGAGTCTTAACGAATGAGTAGGCGTTAGCCAGGCAAAAAAAAAAGAGGAGTAGGCACTGCAGGCATGATTGCACAGATGCACAAAACATCCTCTCTAAGCAGTTCAGTTGTAGAAATTCAGAGTGAGAAATGTGGAGCAGCAGAAATTAGCCTGGAGCAATAGGTACATAACACAAGGTCCAGTGTGTCATAATAACCATTCTGGGATTCATCCTGTAGGTCCCTCAAGCTTCAGTTATTTGCCTATCATCTATGTGTTTTTGTCAAACCTATGTTCCACCTGAACTATTAAGTACTTGATATTCTAATTTAAAATACCTCACTTTTTGAAACAATACTGATAGAGTTTGGACATGTTGTCCCCACCAAAACTCATGTGGAAATCTGATCCCCAATGTAGCAGTGTTGGGAGCTGTTTGAGTCATGTGAGCGGATCCCTCATGAATGGACTAATGCTCTCCTGGGGCCTGAGTGAGTTCTCACTCTATTAGTTCCCGCCAGAGCTGGTTGTTTAAAAGACCCTGGCACCTCCCCTCTCTCTCTCTCTCTCTCTCTCGCTTCCTCTCGCCATGTGATCTGCTTGTACCTGCCAGCTGCCTGCCACTTTCCGCCATGAGTAGAAGCAGCCTGAGGTTTGCACTAGACGCAGCTGTCCCAGAATCATAAGCCAAATAGACCTCTGTTCTTTATATATTACCCAGTCTCAGGTATTCTGTTATAGCAACACAAAAATGGACTAATACAAATACCTACTTTAGCTTCCCCTGAGTAATATCTATGAAAATATAGGTTTGATATGCCAGTTACATTTTTATAAAACCCATTTAAAATAAATATTAAAAATATTTCTTCAAGATATATGAGGGGTCTTCAAAAAGTTCATGGAAAGATTTGTATTATCTTTTTATTCAATTTTATCATGGACTTTTTGAAGTATCCTCATACATAAAACACTTTTTGGGAATGTGATGGGGATCCTCTGGATAGCAGGAAAGCGACATGATTGAATTTGTTTTCAGATAGACCACAGTGCTAAGTGGAGTCTGGATTTTGGGAGGTGAGTAAGACAAGAATAAAAAAATCAGGAAGAAAAGACCACATGAGAAACAAGGCAAGCATGAACTGGGGAAGTGATAGTAGAGAGACAGACAAGGAAAAAAAAAGTATTAGAAAGTAGAATCAGTAAGGTCTTACTGATTGACTGGATGTACAGGAGAAGAAAGAGTCTAAGTTCCCAGGTTGAGTAAATAATGATTGGAAAAAATAGAAACAACAACAGGTTTGGTGGGGAAAAGGTAAAGTTTAATTTTAGATATGCCAAGATTATAAGGCCTATTGAACAACCAAGCAAAGATATCCAAAAGGTTTTTAGATACACAAATCTGAAACTACAGGTGATAACTAGAGCTGATGACATGAATTGAGGAGTCATCAACATATAAATGTTTTTTGTGTGTGTGTGACTGGTAAGGGGATCGCAACCCTTGGCTTGGTGTCGGCTGTGCCGCGCTCAGCCAGTGAGCGCACCGGCCATCCCTATATAGGATCCGAACCCGTGGTGGGAGCGCCGCTGCGCTCCCAGCGCCGCACTCTCCAGAGTGAGCCATGGGGTCGGCCCAACAGATAAATGTTTTTTGTGTGTGTGTGACTGGTAAGGGGATCGCAACCCTTGGCTTGGTGTCGGCTGTGCCGCGCTCAGCCAGTGAGCGCACCGGCCATCCCTATATAGGATCCGAACCCGTGGTGGGAGCGCCGCTGCGCTCCCAGCGCCGCACTCTCCAGAGTGAGCCATGGGGTCGGCCCAACAGATAAATGTTAATAAAAACCTACAGAATGAATGAAATCTCCAAAAATATGGACATAACTTAGAAGAAATAACAAGTCTACAAGCAATCCCAATATGGAAAGGAAGAGGAGCCCATGAAGAAAACCAATATGGACATTAAGGAAGCTGATAAAAAATCATTAGATATCTTTCTAATCTAATCATTAGATTAGAAAGAATGGTATCAGGGAAGCTGACAGACAGTAAGAAGGGAGTGGTTAATTATCTCAAATGTTCTAGATATCCAGTAAAAACCAGCTTTGTTTTATGTGCAGTGTCTTATTTCCCTAACTAGATTGTTCATTTCTTTAGGTCAGATCATTTTATTTTTATTTATTTATTTATATCACTTACAGTCCCAATATAATATCTTGCACAAAGGAAATCCTCAAAAAATGTCGATTGTGAGGATTAAACATTTACTTCAACAAATAATAGAACTATATTCTCCATGCAAAATAAATAAGGTTTTGAAACTTATTTATGATTAAAATGAAAGGTATACTTATCGTTAATAGTTACCTGTACAAAAGCAACTCCTGTCATCAAAATTACTAGGGAGAGCCACTGGTACACACCTAATTTTTTACTAAGCATAGACACAGAAAATAATGCTGTCGTAAGAATTTTCAACTGATATGTGACCTGAAAAAGAAAACAGCAATATTATTATTTCTTTCTTCCTTAAAAGGACTATTAGAAATGTATTTTAAATACCTGATAAGTAGCTGCATCTAGATTTGACAGTGCCACATAGAGTAAATTATTCTGAAGAGTATATATCCCTGATGGAATAGCAAGTTTAAGTGTTTCCGTGGGTTTATTTAGAATTTCATCATGTAGTACTCGATTCAATGCTCTTAGACTACATTCTGGGAAAAAACACACAAAATGGGAAAAATCAGTGATTAAGTAACTCTCAAGACCTCAGTTTTCTCACCTGTGAAAAAAGCTATATGTTAAGATACTTTTAGGTTTAAAATATATCTGTATAATGCTAATTCTTCAAGTGATAAATATCATAAGGTAGAATATTAAGAGCATATCCTTATATTCCTTCATTCTAATATAAAATCAAATTGATTATATGTGTATCTACATACATATATATGAACACACATATATACACATACGTATTTATGATAACCAAAAGCTCAAAGTATTAATTTGTTAACCAAGTGTTCTTATTTTACTGTAGCAACATTATAAAAGAACTTATATCTTATGTATTCCATTTATCAGCAGCCATTCATGCCAATTAACAATTGAGAAGACTTTAATTATAAAAAGAAGGTAAATCAGTTAGGGAGTGGGTTTGGCTGTAAACAAAAGAAAAACTAACACTAGCTCAGTCCCATAGGGATTTGTCTGACAAAGCCTGAGTCCAGATTCAAAGCTTTTACAGCAGCTTAGGGACCCAGGCTGACTCTCTCTATATATATTGGCTTGTTACCTCCATACTTTTCATTTGTTGTCTACATGATTATTGGAAAAAAGGTCATCAAATGATTGCTGCATCTCTGGTTCTTGTTTCAGGCAGCAAGAAGGAGGAAGAAGAAATAGACTAAAAGGCATCTTCTTGACTCTCATTGACCAGAACAGTGTTACATAGCTACCCCTAGTAGCAAGGGAGTTGGTAAATTGAGACTTTTCCTTTATTTCCCCCATATTAGAGCTAGGAAAGGGACAAAAGAGATTGGAAATGAACTCTGAGGTAGCCAACCTACAGTATCAGTCACAAAAAATGTCCAAAGAACTTTAAAAGATATAAAAACCCCTCAAGACAAGAGAAATTCTAAGGAACCCTATTTTGCCAACAATGACACTTTGTAGGTGATTTTCTCTTCCAATATAAAATAGGAACACTTTTATCATGAAAAGTTTCATTTTTGATTATGGAAATGAAAAACAAAAACCTTCAAATATTGCTACCTGATACAAACCCTTTCCTTACCTCAAAAGAAGTCAAAAAAGTGTTAACTAAAATAAGTTACCAGAAAACAAAAAGTGATAAAAACTTTTGGTCTGGCAGGTTAGATCACTTGGTTAGAGCATGGTGCTCATAAAACCAAGGTCAAGGGTTTGGATCTCCATACTGGCCAGCCACCAAAAAACATACATTAAAAAAAAAGATACTGAAAGATTTTTCTTAGTTTTACCAGAAAAAAACTAAAATATTATTTTTTTAAATTAAATTTTAAAATAATTAATCCTGTCACATATTTTTCTTACCAGCACTTTAGGGAAGGTCTTGTTCCACATTTTTACCACTTCCTGTTATTGTTAGACTTTTTATTTTTGCCAGTCTGAGGAAAGTGAAATTGTGTCTTCTGGTTTTAATGTGATTTCCCTGATTGCTAGTGAGGTTCAGAATCTTTTTATAATTTATTGGCCATTCAGGTTTCCTCTTATGTGAATTGCCTATTTATATCCTTTGCTCCCTTTTCTATTGAGTCGTATTTTTTTCTTACTGAGTTGTAAGAGTTCTTTGTAATTCTGGCTTTTTTTTTTTTTTTTTGACAGAATGTAGATATTTATTTTTTTATTTTTCCTTTTTTCCTTTTTGTCTTTTTTCGTGACCGGCAACGGATCGCAACCCTCAGTGTTGCGCCCGGACTGGACCGGGACCAGCAACGGGATCGCAACCCTCGGCGCTGCCCCTGCACCTCGCTCAGCCAGTGAGCGGCCGGTCTGTATGTGGGATCCGAACCCTCGGCGGGAGCGCCGTCGCACTCCCAAGCGGCGCACGGTAGCAGTGCGCCACCGGGCCGGCCCAGAATGTAGATATTTATTATTTGTCCTTTTTGGTTATATTTTTGAGTTTTCATTTACAGTATTCTTCCTCAGATGCTCAAATACATGCCCTGTTCCACTAATGATAGAAAGACTGGTAGTGACAGACACACTGAGAACAATATTATGCTGAATTTTATACATGATTTAAACAATGTTCAAAGTAAATTTTGACTATATGTGAATCTAGCCTTAATGGCTATTAATTATTGGTGGTTACATGCAATGTAAATATTGTCTCTCAATCTGTGGCTTGTCTTCTCACTTTGTTTGATATATAGATGTTTAATGGACCTCAAATTATCTATTTTTTCTATAATGGCTTATTTGTGCTTTTTGTATCTTTTTTAAATTTTTTGGCAGCTGGCCGGTACTGGGATCAAACCTTAGATCTTGGCATTATCAGGACCATGCTCTAACCAACTGAGCTAACTGGCCAGCCCTTTTTGTACCTTGTTTGAAATCATTCACAGTACCAAGGTCTTTCTGAACATATACAGAAAACACAACTGTTTTTCCTATACTCTTATTCAGCAACAATCATCAAAACAGACTTCTGTGACCAAATGCATGAAAATTTCTCCCCACCAGGAAGCAAGCAATTCTGTAGTGGACACCAGCTAGGTGTCCTCCTATTCAATTAAATCCTAACACTATCTACTGGTAGATGGTGTCAGATCCCGGTTGAGGGTTCAGTCCAAGACTGTCCCCCAATTCAGATGCTGGTCACAAGCCTAAGTCTCTGTAACTTCTGACCGACCAGCTATAAATCAGGGTTTCCATGATCCCCTCCTTCGTCTTTAGGCTCTATTAATTTGCTTGAGCAGCTCACAGAACTCACGGAAACACATTTACCAATTTATTACAGAGGATATTACAAAGGATACAGATGAAGAGTAGCATAAGGCGAGGTGTGGGAAAAGGGGAACAGAGCTTCCATGCCCTCCCCAGGCACATCACCCTCCAGTAACCTCCATGTGTTCGGCTACCCAGAAGCTCTCTACACCCTGTACTCTTGGGTTTTCATGGACGCTTCATTACATAGGCATGACTGAAGCATAGACAACCAAGCAGAAATGTGATTGGACAAAAAGGGTATGACCTAATTTTAATAGAAAGTGGTGAAACCCAGCAAGGCCTGTTTGTTCAGATTCTTCTTGGCCTCTCTGCAGAATTCCCTTCTCTTGGGTATGGGGCAGGACCCCTCCTAAAGTGGGGGTCACCTACAATCAGACAAGGTAGGTCAGAGCATTTCTTTAAGTCCAGTTCTAAGACAGAAAGGCAGGGGGAGCCAGAACCATGGATGAAAACATATATATATGTATAATATCAGTCTTAAAGTTTTGCTCTTTAAATGTCAATCTTTAATCCACTTTGAATTTATTTTTGTGTGTGTGCTTCAGTTCACTGAAAGTTGGTTTTATCATATCTCTGAATGCAACTATTCACATCAAAGGTATCTTTGGCTCCATAATATTAAATGCATTAGATACTTCTTTTCATCTAGACCTTAGTGGCAAAAACACTACTTTCTCAGCTTTCCTATTATATTTTCATGTTTTCTTTTTATGCTGCTGGCGAATCCTTCACAGTCTTCTTTTGATGTTCCTCTTCCTGACTCTGACCTCAAAAAAATATTGGGAATAGTACAAAGCTCAGTCTTTGGCCTTCTTCTCTTCTAGCATATACTAGGTTATCTCATCCAATCCTTGACTTTAAAAGCAATATATGAGCTGACAAATCCCTGACCTCCATATTCATATAATCTACTCTTTGACATCTCAATTGCAATACCTATAGGTGGTCTCAAACTTAACATCCCAAAGAGAACTCCTAATTTTCCTCCAAATTTATCTTCTGTATATCATTTATTGCAGCACCCATTCATCCAGTAACTTAATCTAAAAAGCTAGGAATTACTCCTCAAAGTAGATTCCTCCTTCTTTCTGACCTTTACATATCCAATCTATTAGCAAGTCATATCAGAGGTACTTCAAAAGAAGATATACAAATGGCCAATAAGCACATGAAAAGTCATCATCATTAGTCATTAGAAAAATACAAGTCAAAACCACCATGAGATACCACTTCATACCTACTAGAATGGCTATAATTAAAAAAAAGAAAGGAAATAACAAACTTTGGTGAGGATGTGAAGAAACTAGAACACTTGTACATTGCTGGTGAAAATGTAAAATGGTGTATTGTTGAGGAAGACAATTTGACAGTTCCTTAAAAAGTTAAACGCAGTATAACCATATGACCCAGCAATTCCACTCATGAATATATACCCAAAAGAAATGAAAGCAGGGCTTGAACAGATAGATACGTGTGCATCTTTTACAGCATTATTCATTGTTCATCCCAGCATTATTCACAATAGCCAAAAGGTGGAAACAACCCAAGTATCCATCATCACATGAATGAATAAACAAAATGTAGTATATCCATACAACAAAATACTCCTATAGGTGGTCTCAAACTTAATACATCCGTAAAAAAGAATAAAGTTCTGATACATGTTACAACATGGATAAACCTTGAAAACATTATACTAAGTGAAATAAGCCAGACATAAAAAAAACAAATATTATAAGATTCTACTTATATGAAATATCTAGAATAGGCAAATTCATAGACAAAAATTAGAGGTTACTGGGATTGGGGGTAAGGGAGAATTAAAAGTTGTTATTGTTACAGAGTTTCTGTTTGGAGTGATAAAAAAGTTCAGGAAATGGATAATGGTAATGGTTGTACAACATCGTGGGTATAATTAATGCCAATGAATTGTACACTAAAAAAGGTTAAAATGGCAAATGTTATGTATATATATTTTAGCATAATTTAAAAAAATTAAAAACAAAATATACCAAAAAACCATTGAATTATACACTTTAAATGAGTGAATTATAACTCAATAAAATTGTTTTAAGAAACTATGTCAAATCAGTCACTGCTGAACTAATCAATGCAGCAAATTAAATAAAAAGCCTTTACTTTAGTAAAAAAATATTATGACTCCTCTAAAATTCTAATGGTCACAGAATTATAGAATTACTCTTATTCTCAAATTATTATAAATGCAAGAAACTATGTTTCATATTTACAGCATTAACTAGAAGACATGAATCATGATATAGATTACAATAAAATTCCTTTTTTCTAGACTAAAGCTGAATTAATAAAATTTAAAATACATTGAAATATTCTTAATACTAGGGCATTACATAATGCAAGAATACAAATGTGTAGTTACCAGTATATACTTACATATATATGTAAATTAAATAAATTGCACTGATTAAAAACAAAAACCTAGATACCCACTGCTATCTTTGTAGACTAATAGAATGCAGGCCATTATCTTCAAAAGTTCAGCAACAACCACTGCTGTAGAAGATAGATAACGAGGTCCCTCCTCTTTTAAAGTCCTAGAATAACGCATTGTCAGAACCAAACTGGTAGTCTGAAAGACCAAAATTCCCAAGGACAAGTATTTTAGGTTGGCAGACATTGTTTTATCTTCATGTGCCTGAAAAACAAAATAAACAGGGCAAATAAATAAAATGATAAGACACAGAAACTAATATATTAAAAAACAAGAGACTTCTGGTTCCAGACAAGATGGAATAAGCTCATTCCACTCTATTCTTCCTGCTAATTACAACCAAAAACCTTATACCAAGGACAAAATGCAACTACCAGAAAGACTCTGAAAGGTGAAGAAAATAAGGTAAAATGGCTAGAGACCTCAGGTCTTGAGGGATGCCTCAGCAATGAATTCCCTGGAGATGTTTTGCCATCTATGTATCCCACCCTGGGTGCTACAGTAGCTCACAACCTGCAACTGCCAACAGGCATAGAACAACAACAAAAAGCCTCAAGAAAAACCCACTCTCTCTAACCAAAGGACTGAAAAGACAGCAGTCCTGCAGGCCAGAACCTTTTCAACTGGATTCTGTGTAATCTGTAGGATTGAGCCTTGCTGAACATCCCCGCCCTGCACCAATGGGAGCAAAAGTGCTGTCCCTTCCCCCTCTAACAAGAACCTGCAGCCACAGAGACCACAGGGCACAAGGCAAATGTCAACAAAGAGGTGGTATCCTTCCTCCCTCACCCGTGGCTGTCTACTAACATGTAAGATTTAAGTAGGAACCAGAGTCTCATAATGAGAATACTCAAAATGTCCAGAATATAAGCCAAAATGAACATACTCATCCCCAAAACAAGAAAAAAATCTCAGCTTGAATGAGTAAGGACAAACATGCAGAGATGACACAAATGCCAGAATTATCAGAAAAGAATTTCAAAGAAGCTATCACAAAAATGTAGCAACAAGCAATTATGAACGCTCTTGAAATAATCTTACACTCACATAGAAGTTAAAAAAAATAGTACAGGAGTTCTCATACCCTTCATCCAGCTTCACCTAATGATAGTAGTTGCAAAGTTCCTGTATTTTTCCTAAAGTAATTTAGTATTACTCTAAGAGACTTACTTTAAATATAGAGACACAAATAGGTTAAAAAGTAAAATGATGAAGGAGCCGGCCCAGTGGCACACCGCTACAGTGCACCGCTTGGGAAGCATGGCGGCGCTCCCGCCGAGGGTTCGGATCCCACATACAGACCGGCCGCTCACTGGCTGAGCGAGGTGCGGGAGCAACACCGAGGGTTGCGATCCCGTTGCTGGTCCCGGTCCGGTACGGGCGCAACACTGAGGGTTGCGATCCGTTGCCGGTCACCAAAAAAGACAAAAAGGAAAAAAAAAAAATAGTAAAATGATGGAAAAATATATACCATGAGAAAAATAACTAAAAATTGGAGGGGCTATATTAATATCAGGCAAAACATTGCATAAGAACTATTTCTAGAATCTAGGAAGGACATTTCATAATGATAAAGGGTCAATATATCAGGAAGACATACCGTTATAAATGGTTTATGTGCCTAAAATCATAGCTTCAAAATACATAAAGCAAAAACTAACAGAACTAAAGGAAAAACAGGTAAATCCAGTCTTAATTAACCCAACTTTCTCAGTAATTAATAGAACAATTAGACAAAAAAAAAAAAAAAAATCAGGTCTGAACAACACTATTAACCACCATAATTGGCAGACATGGAGATGCTCCACCCAGTTCTTTAAGGAAGGACTTAATACAGAGTGTGTGGTCAGCTGACTGCTTCCCCACCCAAGATCACAATCTTTGCCTCAAATTGATCAAAAGATTCAATTCACTCCTAATCAAAATTCCTACAGGCTTTTTGGTAGAAACTGGCAAGCTGATTTTAAAATTCATATGGAAATACAAAGGACCTAGACAATGAAAACAATTTTGAAAAGGAAGAACAAAATTGAAGGAGTTAAACTACCAAACTTCCAGACTTATTATAAAGCTATAGTAATCAAGACTGGTATTGACATAAGGACAGAAATACAGATCAATGGAACAGAATGCAGTCCGGAATGACATCCATGTGTGCTAGCCAGTTTGGGCTGCTATAACAAAGTACCATAGACTGGGCGGCTTATAAACAACATAAATTTATTTTTCATAGTTCTGGGGGCCGGAAGTCCAAGATCAGGGTGCCATTATGGTCAGGTTCTGGTGAGGTGCTTCTTCTAAATTCACAGATGGCTGTCTTCACATTGTATCTTCACATAGCAGAGAGCAGAGAGAGTGTTTTGTGGGGTCTCTTTTTATAAACGCATCAGTCACATTCATAAGGGCTCCACTCTCATGACCTAATTACCTCCCAAAGGCCCTAGTTCCTAATACCATCCCACATTGGGGGTTAAAATTTTAACCTATGAATTTGGGGGGAAGTACACAAATATTCAGTCCATTGCACCATACATATTTGGTCAGATGATTTTTACCAAAGGCACCAAAGAGAAAGGTCAATAGTAGTTCTGAAATAATGAGATATGTATTTTTTAAAAAATGAACCTTTATCCTTAACTGCCTCACAACAAATATTAACTAGAAATAAGTCACAGACCTAGCATAGAAGCTAAAACTATAAATATTCAGTAAAAAAGCATAGGAGATCCTTGGTGCAGAGACCTGAGAAAAATTACTCCCCAATAAAAGGAAAATTATGGGGGGGGGGGAAGCATAGGAGAAAATCATGACCATGTAAAGATAAACAAAGATTTCTTAGGATATAAAAAGCACAAACCATAAATTTTAAAAATAGGTAAACTGGTCATCAAAATTAAAAACTTCTCTTCCAAAGATACTATGAAAATAATATGGAAAGGCAAACCACGTCATGAGAGAAAATATTCTCAATACATATATCTGACAATGGCATTCTATTCAGAATATATACAGAACTCTCATAACACAATAAGTGGAAGTCAAACAACCCAATTTAAAAATAAGCAAAAGATTTCAGCTCCCCATACCAGCCAGCCACCAAATAAATAAATAAATAAAATGAAATAAAATAAAAATAGACAAAAGATATTTCACCAATAAAGACAAATAAATAGCTTAAAGGCATATGAAAAGGTGTTCAACATCATCATTAGAGAAACACAAATTAAAATCACAATAAGATACCACTGTACACATATTAAAATAGCTAATCTTAAAAAACTGATGCTTCCAAGTACTGGGGAGGATTTAATGCAAATAGAGCTCTCAACATTGTAGTGGAAACGTAAAGTGGTATATTCGCTTTGAAAAAGTTTGGTAGTTTCTCATTAAAAGAAAACAACAACATAATCTTTTCACATGACCAAGCAATTCCACTCTTAAGTGTACCCAAGAAATTCAAAAACATATGTCCACACTATGAATATTCATAAGAGCTTTATTTGTAAAAGACAGAAATAAGATAACCCAAATGCCCATCAAAAGGTGAATTACTGAACATATTGTGATATAGCCATACCATGGAATACTATTCAGCAATAAAAATGGGCGAAATACTAATACTCACTAAAACATCAGAAAAATCTCAAAAAATATACTGAGCAAAAAAATTTAAGTAAAACAATATGTATTATATAATTCCCTCTATATGAAATTCTAGAAAAGGCAAAACTAATCTGTAGTGACAGGTGCAAATTTATGGTTGTGCCCATGGGCTGGGGTTGAGGGTTGAATGCAAAGGGATAGAAAATAATTTTTGGTGGTGATGGAAATATTCAGCGAAGAATGTGGTAGTGGTTATATTATACTCATTTATCAGAACTCACTAAATTGTACGCTTAAAATGGGTACATTTTATTGCAAGTAAATTATAACTCTATAAAGTTGATTTAAAAAATTAAAGATTGAGAACATACTAAATAGTAGCATTCCTCACCAGGCTTTCCTCATAGCTTTGGTTTTGGTTCTGATTTCTTTGAATTAATGGACATTTTGTTAGTCTTTCTTCACCCCACCTCTATCCTTTCGATGATTCCATCTCCCACCTCAAATTCTTTGAATATAAATCCTGTTTATAGTGTATCTCTTTAGAGTTCTCACAGCCAAGCTACCTTTTATGGTTCTAGATATGAGGGGTCTTCAAAAAGTTTATGGAAAGATTAATATTATATTTTAATTCCATTTCCCCACGAACTTTTTGAAGTACCCTCATATATGATCCTTCCTTTCCTTAACTCCTAATTATTATAATAGCATATAAAATATTCAAACAGATTCAATAATCATTATTTACAGCCTATACTAGGCTTAGTACCATGGTTACAGAGAGACCTATTCTCAAAGACACCAAGTCTAGCTTGCTAAATTTAGCAATTCCTACCCTCAGCTGAACAGAGCAGCACCATGAATATGAGAATGAATTTTTTAAATGGTGAAACATATATATTCACTATTTAAAACATATACATAATTATAAAAAAATGATCTTAAGCATTTCATTTGAATTCCAGAGAAAAAAATTGAATATTTCTCTTTGTTACACACAGAGGATCAAACTTAGAGAAAAGAATATATAGACTTCTTTATCAACCATCTGTCTCACTTTTGTGAATCTGCAATAGCAAAAAAGCCCTAATGTGAAATAAAATTACAGCATTTTAGAGGTGGACAATGCTTTAGAAACCATCTAATATAATCTCTTCATTTTAAAAATTAAGAAAATAGTGAATAGAGAAGTTAGATGACTTGTTCAAGGTCATGTAACTAGTAATTGGAAATATCAGCTTATACAGTTAAATAGTGGGTTCCCTGGCTCCCACTACATGCTACTGTAAAATTCCAGGACATCCTGGTGCCCTTATCTCTATATGGAAAGAGAGTTAAGTCGCCAGCAACTTATATTTACCATAGGCCTGGAAAATGTCAAACAATGATTTCAAATCTGTTCAAGGAAGTCTTTTGTTTATTCTGTGCAACCAAAACCATAAGTTTCCTATTATAACAGCGATTCTCTAACTTATTTTCAATGAAAATTTAAAGGTCAGTTTCTAAGCTAGGGTATACTTTTACAGTTATGCTTTTCTATTTCCAAACATAATATACAACATCCATATATATATTCACCATGATAATACAGTTCTTATTAA